GTTCATTTTGAATATAGGAAAAACTATTAGAACAGGTAAAAAGAAATTCAGTCATACAGTTTTTATAGAGCATTTCAGGGCGCATCTTCTGGAAAAGAATTCAAGATTTTATCATTCATCTAAGTCGAGATATATGCGAAAGAAAGCATGTTATAACCTTATGGACACTCAGTATTGTACTAAAAAAAACTGTTACTTTTTTTTCTAATACACTTGTTACACTTTAAACTGCATTTGATCTTTAACGTAAATATACTGAAAGATGTAGCGCGTTCCGGGTTTTCTCGTTATATACAGTAGGTAACTAAACAAAAGAAGTATAGTAATAAAAACAATAATAAACAAAGGGGAGAGGGAAGGGGGGGAATCAATTGGCGCGCACTATATAAGACTTCCAATAAAATAAGATGATAGGAACGGAGAAAAGAAAAAAAATTGCATGCAACGTTGTAGAAAGTTCTGTAGTGTCATGTATAACTTTCACCAGATTTCACACTAAGATGATACAAAAATCTTACATTATGATTTTTATTAGATGAAATGCCTAGCCACTTAAGTCCAATAATCACAAGGTAAGATCACACAAGATCGTACCTCTGATCTTACAGGACCATAAAAGATCAAATATCTCATTCGAAGATCCTACATGTAATTTCCTCGTCTGCCCAGGTCGAAAAATCAGATGTAAGATCTTCAGATCTTTAGGTAAGATCTCTGATATTATATGATCCTTTAATATCGGACGAAAATCGTACAAAAAATCTTGGTGTCTGCAAAAACTTATATCAAGTCTTAGCATGAGATTTTTCCAATAGCATACGGATAATATGCCCTTAGAAGAATCTTATTCCCTCGACTGAACGGAGGGTCATACGAAATAAAATGCGTTTGATTCTTTGTTTGCTTGAGGTCAAAAACAACATTTAAGAGAGATCAGCCTATTTTACGACTTTTTACTGATTCTGTCAAACTTTGCTATAGGTTATCGAGGACCCTGAATCCAAATCCTAAGCCCATTTCTTTGGCCCAGGTTTCATTTGTCGGGAGCCGTCCAATCAGAAACGAACTTTCTTATTTTGAGGCTTTTAGCCTTTTTGATGAAACTTTGCTATAGGTTATCGAGGACCCTGAATCTAAATCCTAAGCCCATTTCTTTGGTCGAGGTTTCATTGGTCTGGAGCCGACCAATCAGAAACGAACTTTCTTATTTTAATACTTTTTATTGTTTTGATGGAACGTTACTAAAGGAACGAATTCTTTCCTTTGGACGTGGTATGTTTTTCTCAAAGATCCTGCAATGGAGAGGTTGACTGAAGACCAAATGTGGAATAAAATGTGTTGAATATCTTAAGCACGGCATTTTTCCCTCGACTGAAGAGAAAGTGATATGAAACAAAATGCGTTTGTTTGCTTGTTTGATTGGTTGGTTGATTGGTTGGGGTTAAAAAAACATATATGAGAGGCAAGGTTATTTTAGGACTTTTCGCCGTTTTGATGGAACTTTGCTATAGGTTATCGAGGATAAGAAATCCGAATCTGAATCAGGTTTTCGAATTTCAGATCTCGAATCTTTTTGTTCTATGAGAAGTGATGCTTAGAAACTACTAGTAGTTTGTAATGCGTGATTGCAGTGTAACGAATCAAGAAATACGAAGATAAGATGGAATTAGAGTACTTGTAGAACAAACATTGAGGAATGAGTGTGACGATACGCAAAAAAATTGTTTATGTTGACAGGATTCAACGGCTGAGTTCACTTTTTAAGACCATTTCAGATTATCAGTAAGGTCATACTAATATGCTCTATTCCTGGATACTGATAAACTTGCAAAGAAAATTTCTGATGTCGAAGAATTTTTTCTAACGGATCAAACTTTCCATCGGTGTTTTAAACATGAACGATGGCTCGGTTTTGAAAATGGCATCAACCTTTCATGGGTGTAAAATACCTGGAAGTAGCGGCTAGCCATGAATGGTGTCCCTTTGAGTGGTCGATGAACGACTAGCTGCCGCTAAACTAGATTTACACAACATCTGTCTTGCGATATTTCTGTATAGCATCGAGCAAAGTGCTTAGAAAAGCGCCACTGAGACTTAATCAATGACGTTTATGTAGGGAATGACTCTTTTAAACATGGAGAAACTTGAGAGACGACGAGTATATATTTGAAACATATCTTGCTTGATATAGGAAATCTAGTACTCTCTGGTTACGAATAAAGAAGCTTTTGAAGTAGTTGAAGCGTGGATTAGTCATGCGTTGATTACGAAAGTAGTTATTTGTGAAAATGCGTTCAAAGATGGTACTAGTTCAGTGTGAGTCGCGCCACGCTTGAGCTCCAACAGTGAAATATAGTAGCTCTTGTTTCAATTTCACAATTTTTTTTGTGTGAGATATGGTCTATTAAGCTACTTTTTTGTGTAAAGTCATGTACTTAAGCTTTTGTTTATGACGAACTTCATGGAATCTCAGATTGACTAGCTAGGTAAGCGATTGAGACGCATAAGGAACAGTTCACAAGTATTTTCACTTTGGAATTTCTCATGTGATAAATATAGCCAGTTTTGAAACTAAGCCAAATCTAGGATCTAGTAAAATTTAAATGACAGTGCATGATCGTATAATTACGGGAAGAGAAAGATGCATAGCCAGCAGTTAGTCGCGAGTGACGACTAGACATGTGCGGGACCAGTCCCGGTCCCGGTCCCGGTCCCGGTCCCGGTAGCCGGGACTGGGACCAAAAAATAAAGCTTTACCGGGACCGGGACCGGGACCGGGACCAAAAATTAAAACTTTATACCAGGACCGGGACCAAAATTTATAATTTTACCGGGACCAAGACCTGGACCGGGACTGAAATCTGGAACTCTATGATATCCTTAACTATGTCGCTGAAGTTCTTCATAATATTAATCATCATTTTGCGCTGATACGATTAGAAGAAATATTTAGGATAACTATCGTTCAATTATTCGCTAGATGTCGTTTGCAGACAGAAGGAATTGAGTTTCTTGGCTCCGGAATTAGAACTGTGCCGAATTTATCGATAATAGAACCGTGATAAGTAAAAAAAAATATCATGGTCGGGACCGGGACCACTGGAAAAAATCTGCCGGGACCGGGACCGGGACCGGGACCAATGAAAAATTAATTACCGGGACCGAAGCGGGACCAGGGTTAGATCGGGTTTACCGGGACTACGATAGGGACCAATGGAAAAAAAAGTTACCGGGACCACACCGGGACCGGGACTGAAAAACCTTGGTCCCGCACATGTCTAGTGACGACCCATCGGAGCGCCGACGAGCAACTAACTGCTCCCTTAGAAATTCCTTGAAAATAACGATTTAAAAGCTTCCAATTGATTGGAAGAATCTCTACCGTTTAGATCTTACTGGTTTTCATGAGAGGAAGAACTGGCAAGAGGACTAACATGTGCATTTGAATGAAGTGTAAGAACATGTGGGTTGGACGTATTCAGCATCAGAAATCGAATATTTACTGAAAAACGTCAATAAAACAGTTTACATCGAATCATTAAAAGTAGATTTGAATGGAATCAAATAATATTTTGTCTTCATAGATACGTTGTCTGCCCATGAACTTGTCAATTTTTTTTCCGGCTATATGAAATTGATTGTTTCATCCCACGAAGACTCAGCATTGAAGCCTCACTCAAGTTGCATATACCAGATATTAGTTTGAACAAATATATTGTTTTAGTCTGATAGTTCCGCTAAATATGCCTTTTCATAGCGGGTACTGGCCAATGTGTTAATGAGTATACGCACTATCAAAATAATTTTCGAGAAGTGTAGCGCATCTTTACTGCAGTCGTGCTGATATGTTTTGTCTGCTGATTTTCTCTGCAAATAATATATACTACTTTTTTTCGTGGTCTATGGATATTGCTATGTCAGTATGGATCACGTACATTTCTTTTGGGTGTTGTTGATAGAGTAACATATTAAATGAATGAATGGTATAGCTAGCAGTATCACAAGGATATCAATTGCACTGTACATGTCGACACAGATGTGCACATTAATGTTAACACCAACACAAAGCCGTGTGCAAATGGTAGATACTATCTTACGCAAAGTATTTGCGGCAATAAAGAACTGCTGAAAGAGTGAAATATTCAGTCGAGGGTTAAGCGAGTCACACAGACTAGCGTTACTTGTGCTAAGACTTGATGTAAGTTTTGCGGACACCAAGATTTTCCATATGATCTTCGTTTGATGGTATAAGTTCGGATGAGATCAGACTTGAAGTCTGATAAGAGAGTGGGGGTGTGAGTACAGGTGGGTGTCAGCATTCATTCCTATATCCACACACAGCCACACTTACACTACACCCACACCTAATCTGAACATTTTTCGACCGAAATACTGTTTCCATGCTCCAACTATTTTCGATGTTTTACTTGCCAACTCCGGCGAAATCCAACTATTTTCGGCTACCAGAATCATTGACCTGTGAAGTAATTCCAACGGACTGATTTACGAGCTAGATCGTACTGGTTTACCATTGCCCAACCGGTTTTTACTCTGGTCAGCATCCATCGGTTGCTGTTCGATGTGCGTGTGACTCTTTGTATAACCCACACTCTAATTAATGCGCTTCTTCTTTTTATAGTACTATTATTAAAAGAGATAAAAATTCTTGGATAATATGCCATTTAAAACAACATTCTAAGTGCTCCAAGCTCACATAGAGATAATTCGGTAGAGACGATTCTGTGTGCATATAAACTAATTTTCGTTGAGGCCCAATACTTATGAGATACCCTCTATGATTTTGTTTGTGACACATTATCATTTTCCCTACTTTAGTAATGCAGCTCTGCGAATACTTACTACATTTATTTCTTTTTTAGATGGCAGAAATTGTTAGTAAGGAGAACATGACATTAAATATAAGTATGTATGACCTTTGTAAAAGTAATCAAATTGAAGAGAATCTAATATTCAATAATTATATTAAAACGATTAATCGAATGGGTGCTTTTGGTAATATAGAGTTACATGTTGCTAGTTGTGATAGACACAAGGAATCTATTCAAATGTTGTTAACAGATAATGTATTGCAATCACTTTTACAAAACATGTCAAATCCAGCAACATCCCACAATCAATCTAGAATAGACGAAATCGAAGAATTACATCAACAGGCTGCTAATTTATTGTATCCTCAGGAAAATATTCAAGAGACTGATTATATTCAATGGTCATTAATTGGTAATAATCTCATTAAAATAAGTAAAGAATTTCGTGAACAAATAGATTTATACAAAACGTATGATAATCAGCATCATCATATAACGAAATTACTGATCGAAATAATTGATTACTATTTAAATGAATATTTAGTTCAACAAGAACATTTTTCAATAAATGAAGCAAAAACAATCGAGTCTTGTTTTAAACAAGCAATTGAAGAGCAAAACTATTTAAAATATTTTATCAAAGCTTATACATTAACAAATAATTTTTATCGTATTCTAAATAAACATCTAGCATTATATATATTAGATTATTTTGATAAATCATCTTATTCTTCATTACCAACAAAATATCGTTTAATCAATTGTTTAGTGCATATTGTTACATTAGTAATCAATCATCCAGATATACATAAGTACAGATATGATGGTATTTGCTATCGTGGTGTATTAATGACGAAAAACGATTTAAAGAATTATGCTATTGATAATCACATCTTAAATCGATCATTTTTGTCAACATCAAAAAATCGTTCGGTTGCTGAAATATTTGCTGACAATAACAAACAAAATATTTTAGAGAATACATTAGAATATCATCATGATTTATCACAGGTATCTGTTTTATTAAAATATAACATCAAACAAAACCAAACAGCTATTGATATTGAACACTTATCAATGATACGAGATGAAAAAGAAGTATTAATATTACCATTTTCAGTATTTCAAGTTAAACATATAATTAACAATAGTCCAAAAATGTTTCTACGAGCACTATATGAAATTGACTTAGAAGAATGTGAAGAAGATAAAGAAACAAATAACAAAAAAAAGAAAAGTAAATAATCTCACTAACACAAACAATTAGCATTCAAATACGTCTTTTCAATGTAAAAAGTACTCTTTCATTAAAAAATTCTATCGATTCACAATCCATGATCGATTGTATTTGTCCGAGATTTTAATGGCTCACACAATTTTCAGTAATCATAAAAAATTTAAATGCCACATACATATGATACTTTTCCTATTCGTATTTTAATCTTCATCAATTATGTCCTGCTAAATCGTCTGTGCTTTCGGAAGGTTTTCTTATGTATGTGATGAAGAAATCTGTCCAAACTATCATTTACTTTTGAGATGCAATTTCTTTTATTTCGTAGAGACTATTGAAATTCAAAGCATTTTACAGTGTCTCATCGACATAAGCTTTTTGTTTTTGATTTATGACGATCTGATTAAGTTTTCGACTAATGATAAGATAGTTTAAAACTGCACCGTTTGCTGAATCGTCTTGAATTATGTTATCACTATTTGAACGTCTAGTAGAATCATTCCAGTTTCAATGGGTTTTACTTAATGAGACAAGTTATATCTCAAAAAAGAATGAGCATCTCGAGAGATTTTCTTGTGAATGATTGTTAGCATTCTACTTTTGTGAGCAGTATGAATCAAAACATCTTCGAAGTAGAGCACTGAAACTTGTTTTGACAAAGCTGTCATTGAGTATTATGACATATTTTCGTAAGATCGATTTATCGAGAATTTTTGGCAAACATGAAAAAGTCGTAGAATATCAGAAACTCACCAATAAAAAGGACCCAACACTATATTCTGTAGTGATACATCCTTGACGATAGCATTATCTCTGTATAATTTTTCGATCAATTTCTGAGAGGTCTGCTCCAAAAATAGTAGTTTTCTGGAGATTTTTGATTCCAAAATATTCCTAAAATCGTTATAGTCACTTTTCAACTCAACTGGTATCTCAAAAAAAAAATATCTTGATCCTCGACCCTCTGATTAGTTATGGCGGATTTTTCTCCTGCGAAATACAGCTTCAACTATATATCTCTCTACCAGTGTAAAAGGCATTCTAATTTCTTGATATCTGTCGAGTGAAGGCGATCAACTGTTCAATCGCTTTTAAGACAAAACTTATTCGATGCAGGTAATCTTTAAGGCTGATTTCGAATATCAACCATCTACTTTGTAGAACGCTGTGAGTTGAGTAAAAAAAAATACTTTTTTCAAACTTTGAACCATTACAAAGGAAGCTAGATGAATAGAAAAACTTAATTCTTATGATCTCTTACACTTATCTTTGAACAGTTACATTCCAGATTTTTAGGTAATAACTTTTGTCTTCTTCATCTTAGATGTCGCTTGATTCATTTTCAGATTGTGCATTCAGCTTTTAATCTATTGGAAGCTATATTATAATAACCTATTCTTCGATTCTTCTAACTAAATAAATTTATGACTACCAAAAAAAGAATTATAAAAGAAATTTTGACCAAAAAAGTTTTTCACTCTGAAAAAATAGTTTTCTAAAAACTCAGATCATTGAAGACTTAGCGGCTAAAATCATTTTGATATTTGGAGGTAGCATGGTCAACTACCTAAAAGTCGCTAGTGTTGGCTAAAATACGGTTGACGAGTTAGTTATCATCCCTTGTTAGAGCGTGATTAACCACACTTGGAGATTATACCATGTACGATTCCATTTTGTCGAAGCTTTGATAAAAATGCTTAGAAAGTAAGTTGAAAACGAATGGATTCAAAATCATCGCATGTCAAAGGTAACAGCTTGAAGATTTCAATATTTTTTAAGGAAAAAAAAAGTTCCAAATGAGAGAACTGTATCTGAGCAAGTTTAACGTGCCTTATCATCAACTTCCTTTATCGAAGAAAGCATAGCCATTAAGTTGTCAGATGAGAAATATCATAGAGATGGAGATACTGAAAGAAATGCGATGTAGGTATCTGAAGACGAAATCTGTCCTTGTTTCATACCTCCATCCTTTTCAAGCATCTGAGAACAAACCTTGATCTTGCAACCAACCTTTTATCATAGCATGTGTACTGAAATTTTCGTAGTAAGGTTTGTGGATTACAGTGATAGTAGTACTTTTGAGTCAGTACTTGATACACGATGTCTCTAGTATTTGTTTTCTTTCAGTAGAGAGAAAGAGAAAAATTTTGAACGAATATATAAGGTGTATCTGTTTTTTTAGGTAAATGGTTGACGATGTGTTCGTATCTCGCAACAGAAGGAAGAACTAGCAAATATAAACTTTTAGTGGGCATTATTACATTGTTTATTATTTTAAGTTTGGTCGTAGTTATAGGTTTCGTAATCTTTAAAACAAAATTCAATAGGAAACCAGAAAATGTACAAGAGAAACCAGCAAAGGGTATTTTCTATTCCATTTTCTACACTAGATTGTAGCAATATGTATTTTGTTAATTTTTTTTGAAGCTAGCTGTCCAACAATAATAAATCGATCTGTTTGGAATGCTAGTGAACCAAGAGATTATAGTATTTTATCAACACCTGTGCCTAATGTTGGCATACATCATACAACCGGTCCACAATGTACCACACTTGATTCTTGCATATCAATAACACAATATTGGCAAAGATTTCATATAGATACAAGGAATTGGTCCGATATTGGTTATAATTTTTTAGTTGGTGGTGATGGTTATGTATTTGAAGGTAGAGGATGGAATTATACGGGTGCACATTGCAACGGTTATAATCCACAATCAATTGGTATATCCCTTTTGAAAACTTGGACAATTTAATATTTTAAGTTCTTTTTGTTAAGGTATTGGTGTTATTGGTGATTATACTTCTATTCAACCATCTAAATCGTTAGTAAATGCTGTTGTATCATTAATTACCTGTGGTATTTCATTTCGTTTTATTCAAGCAAATTATACTCTTCTTGGACATTGGGGTTATGGTATTACTGAATATTATATGCTTTATTTAAATACATCTCAAAGTATACAATATTGTTTACCAAAATCGACAACTCTTTCACCGAAATAATTGGACTGATTTTTTTCCTGTTTACTCATGAATAGAAACATCTGCTTTTATTCATGCTCTTATGTACAGTTTCGTTGTTAGAGCATCTGGATAAGATAAACTTGTACAATTAAGGCTGCACATGTTCAGGTTGAAATTTGATTTCAATTATTACAAACTTGAAAACCAGTTCTTCAAGTATTCACCTGATCAAATCAAATATTCGAGTCTGTGCGCTTATTTCTTTCTGTATTGTGTCAATTATTTCATATTTTCCATTAGAGTTAGGATACTACTAAGCATACACGATATGGATAGTAATGAACAAAAGGATATGTGTAGCTCAAACGCTGAAACTGAGGGGTATATCAACAGTATATTCAAAAGCTTTCCATTGAATGTATCTTGTAGCTATATTTTCCTTACCAAGAAAACTCTTGTAGGTGTGAATATTTGTGTCGATGTAGGAGCGTACTTCACACTCTGGTTCGCATGTAAAACAAACATAGACTTGTCTTCATTTGTTTCGTATTGGCGGAAACAAATATGCTAATATATTTTTAGTACGAATCTTCAGAATATAACAACTTATTAAAATCGAAAAATAGTTTAGATTCATTTTTTTGGAACATGGTTACTTTAATATCTAAAAACAAAACAACATGAAATAAAATGCTTTATGTAATAGTTCAACCATCACTACTGTCTTGAAGTTGTCGATGATTGTAATGAATTATCAGAATTGAGACAATTTTCAGGATATTAACTTTTTCTATTCATTTAACTATTTTAGGTTTTTTAACCTATCCAAACCATTCTAGTGTGCCTTCCTCGATAACTTTTCTAGCAAAAAATGCTAAAAATTTCAGGAAAGTTGTATTTATAGTCTAGCGAAAACATTTGAGCTGATAAAAACCGCATTCAAATGCAGATTTTTCTAATTCTTTTTCATGCAATGACCCATATGAATTATCTTTCATCAAATGTAGTCCATTTTGATTCAGGTCTAACCATGTATCGAACTGATATTAAACAACTCCATCTAGCAATAGAAAATCATGTGTCCATGGTTACTTTTTTCTCTGCCTGTCTCGGCCTGCGCATATTTATTTTTCCTGCAGCATGTAATTTTCTGAAATGTATCCTATTTAATAGCCGAACGAGTATGACACTCATTCTCACCGTACTATTCGCCAATATTATCCGGCTATTATTTTCAAAAGGATTGAATAGGTGCTCCTTATGTGCAAATCGATATTTGGACTTTTGAATATGAAATAAGATGAATATATGAACGAGGCCAACCGATGAACCAGTATTGTGTAAAAATGATGATAATAATAGTCAATCTGTGCTTGATAATTTGAAAGAAGACACTTAGAAAAAGACGAACTGATATAAACTCAGTCTACTTATCCGTGAAGTACGTAATACGGTCTTCATCAAAGAACACCTAAAACGTTGCATCAATCAAGGAATTATGGGTGGCTATAACATGCTCCTTGATGATCTTAAAATTGGACGAAAGAATTCAGATTATATGTCTACTCCCACACCTACACACTAAAACGGAATGATCGAATCATTTTGTGTTCTCAATGAACTTTATTGCATCAATTCATGATAAACATGACGAGTGTCACTCAACCTTATTCTCATTACCTTTTAGTGATATTTGAAAAGATGAATGAAAGCCATCTTTGCAAGTAAGAGGGCAAATCAAATCGTTCATTTTTTTTCATGTACGATTAAATTATATTCTGAATTATATCAATCGTCACAACAAGAACAAAATCACGGTTAATTACACGTTAAAATCAAAGAAAATCACGAATCATTGTCAAATTGTAATTCTAAAGATAATAGCAAGAAATAAGTTCTCATATGCGTTGACTTGGAATTCTGTCTTACCTAGCTACGAGTTTAATCTGCAGCATCGGCAGCATTTCTTTTCATTTGTTGTCGAGTTTGAGTTTTGCATCCGTTATTCGACGCAGCAGTTGACGGGAGTAATTTTATCTGCAGCATCGATCCACCGATACCCATATGGAACTGGCTTTTCCTTTGTGATTATTATAGTCTCAGTCTGTCGAGCAACAACAATAGGTAACTCTGCAAAGATGTGTTGAAAAATCCCAAGATTGTCGGCTATGCAAGAAATTCCATAATCGTTCACCTTATTTACTGTTTGACGATAGGTTGTGGCAGCATCGTGACCGAGAGTCGATGCAGTAATGTTTTCTACGAGATGCCATCCATTCTCGTTGTTAGGTAGAGCGAACGGATATTGATCATGATTGCCGAAGGTGAGCATCACAGTCGCGGCAAAGTTGGCTCTAACCAGTAAGTTCTTCATGAATTCATGGTGTTCTGGGCATGGTTCGGTATGCGGTCGGGACCGAGTGTCGTTACCCATGCGATTGTAGCAATCGGCTCTAGTTCCGACGATAGAGTTCGAAATGATAACCACGTGAGTTTTTCGGGCCCAATCTTCGATGAGAATTGAGTCTAATGAAACTGGAGTGAGCTGAAACCAATCAGCCGCACCATAATCAACGATCTTAGAATTATCTTGAAGGACAGCTGCGATATAGGAATGCACTGCATCAGAGTTGGCTGCGACTCGATAAAATGTGGTGTGATATCCTAAACCGCGAAGAGAAAAAGAGAAATAGGAAATAAGAGCCACTAGCACATTGTCTGCTACTAATTGTAAATTGCTAAGACTGTTTCATAGCACGATTTTACTAAGACTATGGGCTTGTGCCATGACGAAAGAAAATGATTCACTAAATACTATAGTGAGTGAATGGTTACGATGGAGTCGTATTAACAAGCTCAGTGTATTTTCATAGGTCTGTTGCATTACAATATTGCTGATAACACTGAATGACGTAAATGAATTACAAAATAATTCACTTTCTATTAGTTTCTACCAGGGTCTACCAGGGTCTACCAGGGTCTACCCAGAGGTGCAGAATCTACCCGTGTGCGGCACCGCGCGGTGGGGGAAATTTTTTAGATCTGGGGAAATTTTTGAAAATTTTTGAGCCTGGAAATGTTTCGAAAAAATAACTTTTTCCCATATGAAAAAAATCACAAGCTGTAATGCCTCTACCTATGAGCTTCTTGCCTTTGTGTTATTAACTATTTCTTTCTTTTTGTCCTGTTTCTCTTTCCTCATACTTCGTTTTTCTCTTTCTCTCAGTTCCATATGTTCTGTTTTGTTGCTCCGCGCGCGTGAGTGCATGTGAGTGGTATGTGTATGAGATATATTTCGCTCTCTGCTCTTCTGGTATGATGCTTCATTTGTTGTTTTGTTCTGATATTGATGATGTAATGGTGAGAGTAATCACACAAGGTTACTAGACACTTTCTCTGATTTGCTTGTTGCGTATTTAGTCATAGTGACTATCTTGCTTCTTGGTATTCTTTCTACTTTTCTTTCTTGTCATATCACTACTCTGTCATGCTTCGTATTTACTCTTTGACTTTAGATCACTATATTGTTACGATTTTGAGCAGTAGAAATGTTTCCTAGTAAAGAACAAGTATCGTGTTTTTATTGTGATTGGAATGGTCGTAAAGATAAAGCGAAGGACCATTGTACAAGAAATCATCCTGGTAAAACGTTCAAACTGAAGCTTGCAGAAAACAATATGGAAAAATTTTTTCAAAAAAAAACTCAAGGAAGAGAAACAGTTATAGATACCATCAGTAATGACGACCAGGAACAAGAACAACAATCTTCTATCATCATTTCACCCTCACGTCCATCACTCATTCATTCGGATCCCTCACCTATGCCTTCTGGTGTTGTTTTGACGAGTCCGACGATCTATTCCGTTCACGATCAATTACTATCGATGTCGAAGCAGCTGACAAAATTATCAGAGACGATAGAACAAATGAATTCGGACAAAGCAAAAAAGCATGTGTCGTCAATTCTACAATCGGATGATATTGAACAACTATTTGAAAGTATCAAATGTACGAATGAGTTATATTCATTGAAGCATATGGAAATAAATAATCAACTGGATACTATTACGTGTATACCATGTTTAAAGTTTAAAAAACATGCACCAAAACATTTATTAAGTACTATTAAATCTTCGTTTGGCTCATTTGAATACGTTGAACAAGACGCGACTCGAGTTCAATCTGAACGTTTTCGAAATTTAAAAAAAGCTTTAAGACATCATTATTTAAACAAACTACACATCTGGTGTGTAGAAGAAGATGAGAAACGAAAGCAATTATTCGACGATTTTTTAAGAAAAAATGAGAAAGCTGGATGGAATGTTGGTCGAGCAGCGTTATTCTGCATTCAAGGTGGTCTTGGTGGTCTGAAATTTGTTGATACATTGAACTTATTGGATATCTCTGGAGCATCAGTTGGAACTTATAGGTAGATAAAACTATTTTACCAGAGATAAATCTGTCAGTGTCATGCTAGACCTTATTATTTGCATATATGTTTAGACACAGTCGATGGTTTTTCGAGAAACTAAGAACGTCGATGACAATAACGATGAAAAACAGAATTAGTGAATATTTACATTCGGTTGATCCTGTTACACAACGTCGTCGACCGTTCGGCATAACATTGGATAACGTTACATTATTAAAAAGGTCGATGCAGGTGACAATTATGATCGTAATGATTGACGGACAGTTAACACCTCTTTATCTTCAGTCTCCATTATGTCAAACAGAGTTAACGGGGGAAGACTTAGCTAGTAATTGTGTTCGAGTACTAGAATCATTTGGCTTGAAAAAAAATGCATTGCAAGAACAATTCACTGGTTGTGCCGTCGATGGTGCTTATATTAATTTGCGAATTGAAAAACATCTATGTCAAAAACTAGGAATGCGAGAGAGATGGTTAACAGTGTCATGGGATAGTGCACATTTACTTGAATTAGCAATAAATGATGCAAAGAAACAAAGTAAATTTTCCTGGTTACAAAGGTTCATTAAAACATGTGGTACAATCATGAAAAAATATTCATATGGAAAATCATATGAGCACCTACTGGAAGCAGCAGAATTAGTCGAAGAACAAATACTACAACCAAAACAATTTCATATTACCCGTTTTGTTCAATCCGAACTCCGCGTATACGAAACAGTATTAAGAGATTGGTCAACTCTGTATTATTTGCAAGAACAAGATAGTGTAATTAACTCATTAGCAGGTGGAAATGTAAGTGCAAGAACAAGACGAAATATTGATACAGAATACAAAGCAGGTGATAGCGATAATGTTAGTTACAAAGTAAGTTGTAATCAGAATTTTTACTCCGTGAGAATCACTTCATTCTCTGGTTTAGCATGAAGATATCAAATCTGTGAATTTTGTTTGTAAACTTATTGGTTTAAATGATATCTACAATATTCTTGTACGAGCATCTATGTCTGTGCAGCAAGTCAATAAATACCCGTGGGAACATGATGATTCAATTCGATATTTACAAAAATGTTTAAATGGATATAGTAAATTACTTGAACAATTAGATTTAAATAAAACACAAGAAATGGATAGTGTGGAAGGTAAATTCTTGTTTTAGATTGTAAAATATTGCCACCTTTCGAATACACACTTTTATCTTATTACGTTAGAATGTGAAGAACCAGAACCAGTTGGCTTACTCGGACCAACAATCGATGACGATTGTGATATACAAGAAGAAGACGACGAAGATACACAAGTTCGAGCGATGCCATCAGCAAAATATATTGAACAATATTATCAAGATCTATTGAAATGTGAATTCAAACAACGTCCAATCATCATACGACCTGGTGATTATGATTTAGAAGATCCAACTACACATGCAAGAAAAAAATTGATCGAATTATGTCAACAATTAGTTGAAACAATTACAACACGGTTTCGAGAGATACCATATATTTTTATATTGATGAAAAATTGTTTAGATGTTTAACGTTTATACGACCTAGTGGTATCAACAGGTAAACAAACAATGATTGATTATGGCAGAGTTGAATTACAAGGACTTATTGAATAGACGCTGTTGAACTCAGAATATATACAGATAGATGGAAATACTATACAAGATCAATACTCCGAATGGAAACGACGAGTTTTACATGAAATCAAAGAGAAGGATACCCTGGACATTTGGACAACAAATGGAGAGTTGATCACATCAAAAGTGATGAAAAGCTTTTATACAAGTACAGATTTATCCGACGGTATCAATGATTTTCTCTACTTTCATTCATTAATGGTACTCAAAATTAGAAGCGAAGCGATATGTGAATCAGCAGTGTCAATTTTAAAAGGACATATTCATGGCAACCGTTCATTACATCATGATTCGTTAGATAATGAAGTAATGCCTCACTGGAATGCTCCCCCATTGCATCTCGCTGATTCATTTATCAAACATTCACTGGATCATTACTTCAGCAGCAAGAAGAAGAAAAATTGGTTATTTTATAAAAAGAGTGAACAATATCAAACATGGAAACTTTTATCACCTGGCTCTGTTGTACTAAACCATTTGAGAAAAAAACAAGTACCAAAATTACCAGAATCAATCGATAATTAATAGAACGGATTGTTTTTTTAAATCACGCTGTTTGTTTTAAGTAGTTCTTTTTCGATGCCTTTGCTTATAGATATATAATCCACAGAAGGCCATGTTTTTTGATTTTTCTAACTGGGGAAATTTTTCGAAAAAATTTTAACGGTGGGGGAAATTTTTGCTTTTTACGGCAGATTCTGCACCTCTGGGTCTACCAGGGTCTACCAGGGTCTAGGGTCTACCAGGGTCTACTAGGGTCTAGGGTCTACCAGGGTCTAGGGTCTACCAGGGCCTACCAGGGTCTAGGGTCTACCAGGGTCTAGGGTCTACCAGGGCCTACCAGGGTCTAGGGTCTACCAGGGTCTAGGGTCTACCAGGGCCTACCAGGGTCTAGGGTCTACCAGGGTCTACTAGAGTCTCGATGTGGGTGCTGCGAAACAACATACATCACATCTCTCTCGTTGTGGGTGCCGCGAAACGACTTACATCACGTCTCTCTCGATGTGGGTACCGCGAAACCCTGATAGACCCTGGTAGACCCTAGACCCTGGTAGACCCTGGTAGATCCTAGACCCTGGTAGACCCTGGTAGACCCTGGTAGACCCTAGACCCTGGTAGACCCTGGTAGACCCTAGACCCTGGTAGACCCTAGACCCTGGTAGACCCTAGACCCTGGTAGACCCTGGTAGACCCTGGTAGAAACTAATAGAAAGTGAATTATTTTGTAACTCAGTGTTTTTGAATTATTTTGTAATTCATTTACGTCATGGTCTCTACTCGAAGATACTAGTCAACGATTTCAAAATAGACTTCATTTTCAGACTCCTGGAGTATTTTCAATACATTGTATATTATATTCTCATAAATGCAGATCTTAAAAGTTCTAAGTTTGAAAATGCTTGATCGAATAATGCATTCTGAAACACAATGCTCAGTCTGACGCTCTATAGCGAAGGTAGCACTTATGCGTGAAATGAGATGAACAAATTCGTGTTCGAACGGGTTTGTTGAGACTTGTATGCGTACTATCAAGATACCTTATTGATTAATCATTATTTCTTATGGGTGGGATAAACTTTTAACAATGCTAATAGCAATAGAATCCAGCCATGTCAGTAACTATCTGTACCATAGAGAAAGAAACAGAGCTATAATTGAAGGTTTTCAAATTCTAGGAACATTACTGGCATGAAATGGCTTGATAATAAGAATGAAAATCTATGCTAATACATTTTTTATCATTAGCACATATATGGATATCAGATGATATTGGAGAGCTATGATCTTCTGTTTATTTACAGCTGATCAAGTCCTGTACAAATGGCTAAACTGTCGAAGCACAAAAGAATAAGGATTCAGTAACTTGATCCTCTTTAATACATTTTAAGCTATATGTAGTCACAAGACAAAGATAAGGTCTACAAGAAAGATCAAGCCATACTAAACGGCCTTGATCGATAGTACTGAAACTTGTATTCTTCTGAATACAGCTATTTTGGCCACTTTTAAACAATCATTCAAATGTGTCTGCTTCGTATTGAGTGCCTAAGTTTCGCAATATTAGATACGTGTAGTTATTGTGTGTGTGCTACTGCATGGTTTAGAACATTTTAAAATATTCCAACATGAAGTCATATTTCTAATGGGACTTTAATGCACCTGAAAACTCAATTAAAACCAATGGATCCACAAGTAGTCAAAACAAATTCTGAGCTACGCACAATGCCATTATCAACGATGTTTAAAGACAACTAGCAAAAAATGACTCTACCTTGAGCACAGAAACGACGAATGACCAAGAGAATTGGAGTGCCTTTAACAAGCCATTCAAAACATATGGACAGGATTGATGGATACGCAGGCACGCAGCAAAGTTTACGCTTCGAAATTTGAATACAGCTTTTGAGAAAACTATATGACAAACAGAGAGACAAAATAAATTGGTAGATGAACATCTTACTGTTCAAAGGACTTTCCAAGATTCAAGCTACGTGACATGTTTGACATCCAATCACAAGTAATCTGTGTCAGATATATTTGCATGATCTCCATATCCCGAATGAGCATTTTACGAGACGGTCTATCACTATCAGCAATGAAGCTTGATAGAACGCTGCCATCGATGAGATTCAGACAATCAAGCTCTTTCTCGGTCTCAGCAAAGACAACGAGAGGGTCAATTCGATATCGAATAATGCCTGGTTCAAGTATGGCCGTTTTGTGCAATGATAAGAGGCGACAATAGGAGAGAAATCGAACCAGCGAAAGACGATCAGTGAAACTCCATTTATCGGCTTTGATAATTCGATGTCTTCGACCTGTAGATGGACAAACGATAGACGATGAGTTTCTATTTTTTCTATTGAAATTAGAGGCAATGTTTTTATTTGAAATCGAAAAAAATTTGTAATTATCTCCTTACTCAATTTCTGATGAATAATCATCAAGTATCAGGAAAAGAGGTTTGCAACCAATACGTTCAAAGATACTGGAGAGTGAAAAAGTGGCGGCGAAACCTATTACTTCAATATTACCATTAAGCCGGCGAGTTTCTAAGTAAAGAGCGATAATTTTTTTCTTGATGTCCTTAATTACTTTGATGGCATCGCCGATCCATTCGCGCTTTTTCGTTGTGCGATAGTATTCTGTTAGGCTCCAAAACATCTGAGCTCGCAAATGACAACTACAGTCGCCAACATGAGGATCAAAGTCCGTTAGCATATTCTCATTCTCTAAGAGCTTCCCAGAACAAATCGCACAGAATCGAACAAGGCTAACATCCAAATTGTGAACAGCATGTAAAAGTCGAACAAGTGTCTTGGGAAGTTCGTTACGCTCAATATTCTTGTCGACTGTTTCCAGAAGGATAGCTGCCATGTTGATAAAAAGCGATTTTTTTGATGCTCTAAAATAGAATATGACATCTTCTTAGCATTCTTAACTCACTTTCAAATAGAATAGCCTTTGTTTTCTACTACACTACATTATATTATACTGTGTTCACTTCCGAGAATGGCATTACAATGCTCTTGTTTACATATAAATGTGGCATATTATATTTCACTTCCTTTCCTACTTGTGTTTTCTTTCAAGTATCAGTGTAATTTTAGTAGATCTAGTCGTCCTTCAACATAGATAAAGTCGTAAATTAATCTCTTCGCAATATAACAATGGAATAGATGAAAGTGCAATAATGAAATCAAGTTTCATATGTGTTAGCTTGTAGATAAATATTCTTCTCAATATGTGGGAAAATCCCATTCCCTTGCTGTGCACTTCCTTTCATGAAAATAATCTTTTCTATCATGAAAATGAATGAATACGATACCATTTTGATAATCGCTAGCAGATTATCTTTTCATAGATGCTACCACCTCTTGTTTTTCCTGTAGGTTACCATTTCGTTCGTTCTAAGAGTCATTCACGTTTATTCTATAATAATTACATTAGATCCAATATTATAATTCATCATGATTTCTTCACTGCATAGTCTAGAAGTCTCGAAGAATATGATGACGTGAGAGTAGATCTACTGTAATTGATTACATTTATGAATGTCTGATGACATCTGAATAGACGTATTACGGGTGTAGGTGTATATGTGCATCAGAGACCGAAAACGAGTCGAGTACTCGACAAATCGACTCGACTCGACTCGGCGTGAACCGAGTCGAGTCGAGCCCGAGTGCGAAGTTTGAGAAATGTGTCGAGTTGAGTCGAGGGGAGTCGAATTTGACCCCAACGATTCGACTTTTTAAAAATTTCTTCATAATTCTATCATTTGTTTCTCAATATTAGTCATCGTCATCGTTAGACGAACCGAGATGAGACAATGTCAATTCATTTCAATGAATAGGTTGAACAAAGCATTAAAATGAATAGACAGTGATGAACTGACGACGCTAAATAAACTACAATGAATGATATACACTAGCTTTCATTGTATTCAATGCATTATTGACTGTTCAAAGATTAATTAGAATGCAATGACTTGATTGATCGTCAGCCTATGTAAGTGATCTGCATGCAACGTGCAACAGATTTAGTAGTGTATTGCATTATTTCATTATCTATCGCAAAAAGATGATCAAAACAGAATGGATGTTTATATGATCAAATATTTGATCATATTTAGAATATTGAAATCGATGAAATATGTTAACCATTCCATCCAATAGGACCGTTTCGAATAGTCTTGGAACATTTATGGAGAGAAGAAATCGGCCTGCAGTATTGCCGAAATCGCGCAAGAAAATGATTCAGAATTATTCGAGACGATAATTCCAAGCTCTGAAACCGAGTAGAAAACTTGTAGAAAATTTCTGTTTCTGACAGAGAACCTCCGAAAATCGATAGAAAATCGAAGCAGTACATCAAGTGGAGAGAGCGAAGAACTTTTTCGATGACTTCCGACCATCTTTGAGCGACAAAGACAGGATTTTAATGGGAAAACACAGAAAAAAAATCTGAGATCTCCAAGTCTCAAATACTGCTTTCAAGAAATTGTCGCAATTTCCTGAAGCTGACGGTTTCCTTTTCGTGTGGTCCGACATGGATGTTTCAACACTATGATACAAGTGAAATGTGTGCCTAAATTTCTTCTCATTCTTGATATTAAGAATGTACTTCTAAACATTCGATTTTGAATCGATACTCGGCGGCTCGACTCGAGTCGAGCCGAGTCAAATGTTTTTTAGATGCATGTCGAGTCGATTGAATGGTTCAGTCGAGTCGAGTCGAGTCGAGTTGAATTTTTTTGACTCGTTTCGGTCTCTGATATATATGCGCATTTTTCTACGTATGTTCCATATCTTGAAATGCTTGTGAGTTTTTCTTCTTAAATTCGGCTTGATATTTAGTTTTAAGATGAAAACGATGAGTCAAGAACCACAGATAAACATACGATGCGCATAGACAATTTCCGAATATGTTTTAGCACATTTGGAACATCACGTTCGATTGTGTTTCTGTAACATGCATTATCTTCGATCAGAATTTAACTCATAATTATATTCATACTATAGTTGATATACTTAGCTTGAGTTTTGGACTTTTACTAGAAACAACAATTAGTTTTGGGAAAAATGAGTGTTCACGAATGTTGAAGTAAATAATGATAAATGTGTTTCAATTCTGCATTGTTGCTTAACAACTTAAATGGTGATGATCAATCACTAGAAGAAAAGAAATACATAAGCTATGCCAGAAAACTCTTCTTTCAACATGTTTGGTTTTCTTTTTACGTAGGAACAAGATCAAGAATGGCATATAACTCAGGACAGTCTTGTCATATGTTCTATGAGTATTTAAAACGATTTTCATTTTTTTCTTTATAGAACAATCGACATGATCTTCTAGCTGATCTAGTCAAATCGTGACCCAAAATGTTTGAAAACAGTCGAATCCATTATGATATGTCTTTTAGTTACGCAACCAATTCACACGCGATACGAATATGAAACGATTCAATGAAGCCAAAAGCATAACAATTTTACAAGCGTATCGTCAAGCATTAGTTACTTCAGATGTTTTGGAATGAGACAAACATATCCCAACATGAAACTACATGACCTTTGTATCTCCGTGTTTTCATCCTTCTCAGTAGGCTCTACTTTTAGTGTACTTCTTTTATCAAAATGAAGTGACGAACCTTTTGTTATATAAATGTCTTAAGGCTTTGTTAAGCCAAACGTTGATTACCGCGGAAGATCAATGGAAGCCTGTGAATGATTGAAGTCCAGAAAGTTTCGAAATTACATAATTCACATAATTATGTTCAGAAGATTTTGTGATTCTGAAGTTACTTTTTTCACAATCGGTTTTGGCCGAACACGCAATAAGTCATTTTAAAAATGTACAGATGTATAGATCAACCATTATAGTTTATATTTTTACTGATTCATCGATAAACGATAGTAATCTCATGAGTAGCTACAGTTCTGCCTCAAGAAATATTTATCCTACTGGTTCATATACTGTCGCCACCTATAGCATGCTATGTAAAACATGTGCGTTGCAAAATATACTTCTTATTTGTTTGATATAATTTCGGTCTGTTGCTTTTTTCTTTCTTGTTCTGTAGTCTCTCACAACATTTTTATATAGGAAAGAGAATCATAAAGTAGAGCACGTGGTCGAAGCAGCGTAATCTTTCTATGGATGTGAGTAAAGTTTATAAGCGATAAATAACAGTACGCAGATGAAAACGGAAATTTTTCCATCTTCATTCACTGGTGGAAATCGTCGGATTGAATTGACTGGAACCGATCTATGGATTACTCCACGTATTGATAATGTTTTCGTATATCCAGGTGACTTAGATCTCAATCGTTTGAAAGACGCACTCAGTCACATTCTGGCATTATGGCCTTTAGTTTGCGGTCGTCTACTCCTACACGATGAAGAGCATTATATCATTGAAATGTCTGACAAAGCCGTACCGGTTACCATTCTTGATAATACAGAATTAATACAATGGCCTCTTAACTCTAATGTGGTACGGGACAATGTCGAAGGTCAATTGCAACCTTTTCTTGACGAAGTACAAACTACGAAACTATGGCATGGTTGTCCAAATGAACCACTTTTCCGTGTGAAAATCACTAGGCTTATACGAAGTGGTCAATGGGTGCTCGGCACAAGTTGGGCACATGTTCTTGGAGATGCCTGTGCTTGCTTGAATTTTCTGCATACGTTTTCATGTTCCTACCAACAAATGGAACTTCCGGCACTATTACCTAGTTTTGAACGCCGCCTATGGTCAAAAAATGAAGTTGATCGATCATTATTACCTACCATGCGACATTTATTTGACGCTCTATCGACTGAACAAATTCAAGAAAAAATGATGATCGAACAAGAGACCCATGTTCAATTAAATATACATTTTTCTGGTGAGCAGATTACCAGATTGCGTACACTAGTTGATGATAGTACTTTAACTATTCACGACATCATGATTGCCTATATTATTCTTACATTAAATGTTTCATGTTTTAAAAAAGACGAGATGATTATTCGACACACTAATATCATTGTTAATTATCGTGGCGTATCTGATTCAATCGCTACACCTGGTTTAGTTGCCAATTGCACTTTGCGAATATTGTCCGACAATTTTGAAGATCCTTACTCCCTACTGAATATTGCTCAGTCAATCCGGCGTTCGATTCTTAAATCACGAAATCGAAAGTTTCTCGAATCGTGGCTCGCCACTGCAGATGAACTTATGAGAGACATGGCGTGCAATGAGCGTGAAGTTAACATAGATCATTTTGAGAATGGAATTGTGGTGAATTCAAATTTCCGCTATGATTGGGCTGGTCTCGTCAATTTCGGCCACTTTGATAAATGTCGCTTCTATACAGAAGGAACCACTGTTTTATTTTTACGCATATTTCGTCTCAATCCAATCTATAATGGCACTCAGTGGATCATGAGAGATCGTGAGGGAGCAGAAATAGCGTTCAAAATTGAAAAGAATATAAAAAATAATTTCATTGATGCGTGGCAACGCGATATCAATGAAAATTTCATCAATGTGAAAAAATAACAATAATTAGCGTATGATTTTTTTAAATAAACTGGCAACATGCGGAATATGACGTTCCAAAATTTATTGAATATTATGGAGTATCTGTCTATGGATTCAGAGCTCTCAGTTTTGTTAATCGATCACAATATAGCTGCATATTTGATATGTCATCTATTGTAACTCGTCATAGATTGGAGTAATTATCTGCAAGTAGAAGCCTAGTTGCATAAAAATATTTAATATGTTTGATCATACTATTGAAACGTCATCAACGATTTTCTATTGCATATTTCTTTGAACTTCTGCCTCTAATATGTCTTCTAGGCGTTCGAGATACACACTCTTTATAGGTTTAATGAAGAGTGTAGGTATTAGTCTTTTCTTTATCTGTCCAGTATGCTTACACCTTAAAATATTGGTTACAAATTCATATATTGTTGCCGACTATTTCATTGGTTGCTTTAGATATTTTTTGTGCTCTTACTTAGAACGATGCCATAAATTAACCACTTTTCTCCTTTACTAACAATATCACCGATCAACATATACACTTTGGAACAAGTTATATCTATTGCTTGATATTCTTATCAAGAATACTGATGAATGTTGCTAAAAAAATTTATTATCCAATAATAATTTGAGAAGCAGTGTTCGTTTAAATATTTCTACTCGTATATGTTCTTTCTTGTTTGACTAATTTGGAAATAAAAAAGCTAAAAAAAGAAATTAAGACCTACGTAAAGAACTTAAGTAAAACATAGACTTGTTTCGCCGAAGCAGTCAATTCATCATGGCTGGTTGTATATGAAGTTCATTCATGATCACGAGCACGGTCACAAGGCTTCTGTAATATGCGACCATCGTCATAACCTTGATCATGACTATTGTGTAAATGATCTCTTTAAAAACTGCAGACCTCTAAGACCATCTACACGTATCACGTAGCTTCAACAGTACCATTGATCGCACGGTGAAGACTAGACGAATATTGCTTGACGCGGATTCTCATATGTGCTTTTTCTTTACGCTGAAGATCTTTGATCCGACATAGATACAGACTGATTGTGAGCTGCATTCTTTTATTCGATTGACTGTTCACTTGTTTCTGAATGCAAAGACGTCATGTACATATATAGACATGGATAACTGCCCTTGAATTTTAATTGCGCAAGCTTAATGCTCGAAAAAGTTTCGAGAAATACAGCTAATCGAAGCTCTGAAGTGAACTCATTCATAGCATGTCGCTTAGAGTCTTCCAATACAACAGAAAATGTAGATGTTGGTTGGCTTGAGTTTGCTACGAAACTAAAGACTAACTATTACACTGAGAAAAGCAAACCGAAATTTTATTTCAATGTATTCATATCTAGTGTTTTCGGACACGATTGTCATTGTGCTGTGTGTTCGCAAAATTCATATAATTCTATCAATTCTTCTTGTTTCTGTTGGATCCTTGTAAACTAGTAGAGGTTCAAGGCTTGTCACCAACTGGATATATAACGTTGAACTCACGTCAGATGAAACTCGGAAGAGATGCCGCAAAATGCGTAGCGATCTTCTAGAATCTATCTGCGTTCTTAGACCGATTTAATAGATCATACTCGTATTATCTGCTTGCTATCTATCAGTATCTCTCAAGGAATCAAAACAGCTTAAAACAGTGTTATTAAGCTAAGTGAAGATGGCATTTATCGTAATAATGAGTAGTGTCATTTTCGGCAAAACAAAAACAAACAGTAAAAAGTCATGTCATGATTTTCCTACGTTTCTCTAGCAAATAACCTACTTATTCAGCTGGCCATTAGAATGATAAAGCTTCTGTCGACACTATTGATCAGCACAAATACATTTAAAGAATTTCAATACAATCTTTCCATTTTTTGTGTAATATACGTGTTTTGCAGTGGTGCAGGTCATTTTAAAATATATGTGACAAACGGGTGGTTGTCTGCTGAGTATAATGTGAGGATGTGTGAGGGTAACAACGGGAATAAAGGTTTTAGAGCATGGATATTGATGTGTCATGAGAATTGGGATGTCAGCATGATGTTGATTGGAGATCTTTTCTTAACCCTCACATACACATTTACTATGAGACGGCATGGAGAGAACCCATTTGTATGCGACAAATACGTCCTCGCAAATATCGACAAACTAGCTGAAACAGTCTTACTGTATTAAAAAAACACAGTTAAAACAGCAGTTGGTCACTATCGGAGATGAGGACCTGGATTGGATACCGTCGAAGGGCATTTTCGGACGAAGTTTGCTTAGTACTTCTTATACTTCAGTGATACATGTCATGACACTTTATTTATTTTAGGATTACACTGCTACTTGGCGGGTTCATCCTTTTGAAGCTTCAATCTTCTTCCGACAGAATGGATGTTATGAAAGATTGATGAAGACCCTCATGTTCGTGAACAATGTCATTTCCCGTTACTGTGATCATGTTTGTGTAATAAAAACAGACGAAAACAATATGAAAAAAAAAGTGATCTCTTATATTTTTTTATCATAGAAAGACTATAGATAAAGAGAAATGCTCGCCAAGAATTCTACAGTCATATGGATTTGAGAAACGATCAATAAAATAAATATCAATCTTGATATTACTATACGTATGTCAATATAAAAAAAACGTTTGCTGCAACTCATTTTCTTCTCTTGTACTTCATTGACTCCTCACCAGAACATGAAATAGAAGAGGCATTGTTTCTCTTTTATATTTTCGTATTCAATCTGGTTATAGACCAATGCTACAACGGTTTGGAGCTGTACAGAGTTCGTTGCTCCTAGTTGAATTTGAGATCAGAAATAATAATTATCACTACTTGAATAGTGTGTCTGTGATGAATATTGCTTTACCGTCTGTCAAACTTCTGAACAATTCCAGTTTCGAAAATGTCATCGACTCTTTTCGCAGGTTGTACTCAGTGATGTGCACTTGTATTTAACTGTAACTGCGCTAACTTCTAGGAGAAAATGCTTTTATTGTTTATTGTATTAAAATTTCTTCCTTTTACATTCATTTGAAATTAATTTGACCTCTACATTTATTTACCTTTTTTAATTCTTACTATACTAAAATGCTATTTATTGTATATCTCTCTTTTCATAGCTAGGAAGAAATTGAGTTAGCTAACATATAGATAAACTTAATTAAATTATTAGATTTTTTGCTCAACGTTTAGAATCCCTAAAAGCTCCTTATCATCACATAAATAATTGAATATTATGTGAAGAATCTATTTATTTTTATAAAATATGTCATCGTTTGATTTTGTAAATAGAAAATTAAAACTTATTTCAACAATATGGTCGCATATGCCGCAAGCATCGATTATCAGTCAGTAAAGCAACATCAAAAAAACGAAACTCGCTTGTTATCGTTTCGTTTATTCATTTTCTTGAGTTATAAACAAGTTTTGTGTCGAAAACAAGGATAATTCCTCTAAGAAAAACAAGACAGAGAAATTTAGACAAAACCTTCTTAGCAAGTTCTTGTCATTTCGTTTTCGTTATTTCATTAAGGAAACTAGTGTTTGTTTCATCAAGCTGTAGAAGACAAAAAGATTTTTCGTATATACGATAATAATGCTTGAAGTCTCTAAAGCGATATTAAACATCGTCATTGACCTAATTGAAGCTATTCTTACATCAGATAAATGAAACTTCGACAGTTATTTTCTTGTTTCATACGTCTAATTTAATTAACAATAGTAAGTCTAAAATCAGTTCCCAAGGCTTCATTTGCTGGTTTTAAATGACATATATCAGTATATACTTGTATTTCCTCTTTTTTAAAATTTCTGTCACTGATGATGCTCTATTGTCATCAGTTTCGATCAAATGATGTGTCTATTAAAGCATACAGATGATAAATTATGTTAGTAAAATACTTATTTTATTTCAGATTAAAAAACAAGCACTATATGCTGATAAAAACCTAATACAAATGTTTTTAATATTTTTCATTTTGTTACTACTTTTTGCAAATGAAATATAAAATTATAAGTTCAAACAAACCTCCACAGGCACAACCAACACCAACATACACTTTTGTATAACTGTAATGGTGGATTACAGCAGCAGCTGCAGTTCTTCATGGATTATTCTATTTGGCATCAGTAAACGCTTTTGATTCATATTGATCAAGACTAATTAAAGACGAATTGAGATTTAACAAAGGTGCAGCATTCACCCACAGAAATACTAATAAAAATTAAAATGTCTGTTTTAGAAATAATATATTATCAAAGTATTATATATTTTACGCAGTATAAAAGAGTTGCCAACAAAGACCAAGTTTACAACAAATGACATTGTAGCAAGGTCTCTAATGGAGTTTATTACATTTCGTATACGGTATACACAACCCTTATATAACTCTATCATTTGATTTTTCCCCAGTTATCAAAAAAAAAATCACAACTCTGAGTATCAGACCATATCTGTATTGATGACTAATGATGACAACTACAAACACAGCTTGGCCATGCTTTTTGACGGTCAACATAGCAATCAATTTTCCAATATTGGCCTACAATTTTATATCATAAAACAATCGTATAAAAGTTAGCGATGTTGATATGGTTAAATTATCTTGTAGAAGTCATTCTTCCTATCACACTGCGTTGATAGAAGCCAAACTTTCGATATATCTTCGATTCCAATGAAAAGAATTCTATCTCGATGATTAATATTATATCAACAAAATTCGAACGACACTGCAGAGAGAGATGTTTCCAACTTGGGTGCGTCAAATTTTCGTACTCTGCCAAATCACAAAGTTTAATATACTTCTCAGTTTTTTTTCTCTGCATATCAACAGTGTTTACTGAAGGAAAGACTAACAAATCATTAAAATTATTGACACTAAGTGTCTAATTACTTCTTGATTTAGATCATTTTTTATCTTGTTCAAAAAATAAAAGTGGAAATCTTATATTTTTACTGAAATACTAGCATCGACGAGTAAGAAATTTACATTATATAGTACAAGAAAATTTCTTCGACATCAATTGCATGAATTTGAAAAGAATCATCTATTTAAGCAACTCATGAATACATTTGCATTTATCCGAAAGTAATTCCTTTAAAAATTTCCTAAAAAATATTATAAAAATAACAAATTTTGAAAAACCTGAGTTTTCATTACTCATTTTTTCTATAGATAGCGTAAGTTATCAATTGATTTTCAGGATAAAATTTTTAATTGGATTCGTTAAACTATAAAACAACATTGATTCAATAAATAAAAGAGACAACATTAAATACAATTGAAAATATAGTAGATAAAAAATATATATATAATATTATTGATGATAAAACTAAAAAACTTTGTCAATGTGAAATGGTGATATCAAAAAAGCAAAAGTTTACCTCTAATAAAAGATTGATTACATCAGAAATGTATGTCATTTCATGCTTTGTTCTTACGGCTTACGAATAACAAAGAATGTTAGGTATTGTCGATTATTTTGCTTTTTTTTACACAAATACAGAACCATTCAAAAATGAAAAGCTATTTATCTTTTCTCTCGAATACATTTATTTTAATAGTTTTAGATTTCTAAATGACTTCAGTGAATTTTTCTAAAGGTAAAATCTATGGTGTATTACGAGCATGTGTTATTGCTGATAATGGTGAAAGTCATTCACATAAAACTGGTGAAAGTCATTATAATTTATTATCTGTTGAGAATGGACAAAGTCAAACATCAGAAGAATATCAAATCAATATAGATATTCAATCACTTCAATCAGCCAATGTTAAATGTATTTCAATTGATCCATTTATAAATTCATCGATACCATTTTCTCGTATTCCTTTTGGTTTTACGCCATTAGAATCCAATGAGGGTGATACATTAGCATTAGATTTTATACGACGACCTCTATTTGATTTAAATCTTCTTGTTAAATCAGAAGCATTAACTGCTGATCAAATCGCAGAAAAACTTGATGTTTATTTAAAATACGATAAACCAAATGTGATTATATTTGGAACAAAATATGATGATCAACATACTTTAGAAGATAATCATTATGGAATGCAACGTACAATCAAAGAAAATAAACCACCACGTGGTATAGATGATATTCATATGAATCAAATTGTCGGTAAAGATGGTCATGCTTATCAAGATGGAGCTTTATTTATTCAAAAAGATAATCAAGATAATACATATGTCGCTTTCTTTTTCTGTTTTGATAGTCAATGTACAACAGAAGAATTATCAAAATAAATGTAGTTCAATCATTACGGAATAATAAATAATCTTAGAAATAAAGATAAACATTAACATAAAGATGAAAACGAGCATGATAAATGACGTGGTATGTGATTAGATAGCTTCATTTAATATTATGCCACTTTAGTTCTTTTCCAAAATTCTTCACCGTTACTATTGATGTTTAATAAACAAAGATAATGTCGTTCTTTTTGTTTGTCATTCGTCTTTTTATAAAAATGCAATATTTATTCATACAAATATCTCTCATTTCATAATACGATTAATTAACAAAGGGGAAAAAAATTATTTTCAAGATGAATTATTTGATTCTATGGTAATAAGATTTTGTGAGAATAGTTTCATGCAGTTTATCGATATATTTATCGGAAACAAAAAATCATCAAGACATTGGCATGAACGTTATATAAGATTTTGTTGTCAAACTCATCGCATAATATTATGAAAAAAACGGATTTTTCAGTGAAATACTCATCATAAAGTCGTCGGTTATTAATAAACTTATTGTTCTAGATGTTGTGAGGTATTGATTGCAGATATTTGTGTGAAGACAATAAGAAACTCATCAAAAGATAATAAAGAATCTTTTAGAAAGATAATATAAAATAAATAAATAATATGAGAAATATGATACCTTTATCATAATCAGCAAATTCAATCATTTCTTTTGCTTCTCGATCAGTAATAGAAAATCTCAAACTATTTGTAACCATAGATAGTTCATTAGCATCAATCATACCATCTATATCAAATATATTTGAATAGAAAAAATAAAAATGACACGATAAATATACCTTTGTTTAAATCAAAGCATTCAAAAGCAATTTTAAGATCAAGTTGTCGAAGTGCTTCTTCTTCTATGCGTAATTTTTCTTCATATTCAAGCACAAGTAATGCATAATGTTCAAAATCTAATAAACCAGTGAATGTACCGTTTGCTTCCATCAATTCATGTTCAATTAAAAAGTCTTGATAACCAATATCTTTTCGAGCATCATAACCAAGTGCTAATAACGCATCATTTAAACGTTCCACAGGCACTAAAATTCTTATATTTCAGTGAAAGGAATATTTTTATCTTACTCGATTGAGAATTACTAATAGTAGTAAAGACATGGCGCATTAGTTTGAGTTTATCAGGTGCAATATGTCGTTTTTGTTTTGATGACTGTATTAATTTTTGTGATTTTTTAAGAAGAATTCCATTGCTTATACTGATTTGTGTATTTGATAATTTTGTTTGAATCGGTTTATCATCTTGAAGCGTATATCGAACAGATGAACGTATTGTAGAATCATTGTTTTGTTTATTTTTTATATGTGACTGACTATTTGTTCGTTTAATCGACATTGACTCACAAGTAAGTAGTAACACTTTAATTAACTATCAAGATAATAGAATACTAGCAAATACTTTTTTGAAACGATAGACTTGAAAAAACAGTTGAAACAAATGAAGAATTGAACTCGTATACATATCTAAAGATTTCTAGATCGATAAATCTAAGAATGTGTAGTTTCAATAAACTCTTTGCTTAAAACTTACACTTATTTTTCTTTGATTTACTTGGCATATCCATATTTTATAGATGTGTCAATGATTCAGTGAATACCGATTCAGTTGAGTCATTGAATCAGTAGACTCACCATCAGTATTTCAGTGCTTTCACAGAGACTGTACATCGCTAGACAAATGAGATATTTTATAGTAATCTCACATATAATATTCATTTATTTTGCCTGATAACAATAGAAATTTTATTCTATGATACATAATCTCTAATAATAAATGATATTGATTTAAATTCTTCGCAATAATATTTTTTATTATGAAATAAAATCTAACTTGATAAAGATAATCAGAAAATTATGGTTCATAGTAATAGTTTGGTTGAAATCGAGAACACTGTATTATCAGTTGATCAAAGTAACTTCATGATTTTCCTATGATTGATATATATTAAATAAGTGTATTTTATTATGGTTGGAAAACCTATACAAATGATGAAAATGTTTATTTATTATGACATGAGAAGGACAAGTTTTACAGATAGGACATCGATGTTAGTACTCAAGAAATTATTATTACTGTTTATATAGAACGAACTATATAGTAATAATACGAACCCTAATATGATTATTACGTTTAGTATAAGAAGTCTCTATGAGCAAAGCAGAGGTCTAAATGAAAGATATTAGCAATGTGGGTATTCTTGTTAGGAAAAACAAAAAACTTGACTAATCCATTGGTATCATGATGCAAAAGGCTAAGCCATAAAATAAGTAAACTATCATAAAGTTATTATTAAATTCAGCATATATTGTGGCGATAAACAACGATAGTCGAAAATAATACAACATATTTTTCTCATTTAGAGTTAAAACTTCTAAATATCTAGCAAATCAGTTCATTCCGATCACATGATTTGTATATTCAAAGTAGAGAAGATAGATATGAATAGCACTTGCTGTTAAATAAAATGATTTTCTATTCTGTATGTGTTTCGTTCACTTGTATGTCTTAATAACGAGTGTAACTTTGTGTTTATTTGAGAAGAATATCTTTTAGAGATCTATATCAGATGGGAATTTTATAGATTTTTTGTCGGCTTTTGTGTTTGTAATTTGACTATAGCAGAAAACTATTATAATTATGAAACGATGATAAGGTAGAAATGGTTTATATGAATAACTGTAAATGAAGAACTTAGAACGCATCAAGATCTTTAATCAATATTAGCGAATAGATTTGGAGAGCTTCGTGTTTTGATGTCATCTATTTATATATATATCCTTGTTTTTTTGAACCATTCTTCGTGTATGAATTTACCACCAAAAAAAAAATATGTATATAGCTTCTAATTGAGACACTTCATGAATAAGAGGCAGTATTTATTGAACAAAAGTTTTCACTATAATAATGAAAACTTTTTCATTAATGATTTTAGTCAATATTGATACAGTGATCTATTTTAGTACAGATATTAACAGCATGGATGATGCTTCAAAATTATGTTATATTGTTGTGACAATTTTCTTTAGATTAGACGATGTTTCGAGAAAATTTCAAATAATTAGTGAGGTAGAATGAATGCTATGTAATGAAGTTGCTTTTCTTCTAGACACACTCTTTAATGATATATATGTTTGCTTAGTTTTTTTTCTTTTCATTTATGATATGTACTTTCTATCAAACTATAATAATAGATGATTGAATATTTAAATCTTTTCATAATGTCACATTCAATCATGGTTTACTATAGTTATTACTTATGCAATAATTTGCCTTTTTTAGCATGAAATTCAAGTAAAAGAGAAAAGTACATACGAATTTTACATTTGATTCTAACCAAAATAGAGAGATTTTGCTGAACTTAATTAACCAAATATATATGAAAATAATAAATCACCAAAAAACTGTCTGAATATGTATCCATGAATAGATCAATCGATTCATTAAGGATTATTTTATAATGATGATCAGTTTGCTAAAGAACATTTATAGTACATTAGCGAAATGGAGAATCACAAATCATATTAATATGCTAATCGTTTATTTATCATCGGCAAGTTTTGGCGAGAATGCCATAAACTATTAAAAAAAACTTGAAGATATCTATAATTGTTAAAAAACTGATTCAAGTTTTCCTTTGATAGTAAAAGCTATATATTATTTGATTGACGATAAGAATCTGACCTATCTTTGAATACATGAAGCTTTTTTTTACGAAAAAATTATTAGATTGAAGTAGCACGTCTTTGGTGAATGAATGTCATTGAGACGGAAATGATCTCTTTTTTACTTTCAATTCCAGTTTTATTCCAAAATAAATCTTGATGTCTTTGATAAAACAATAAGTTTTCTCTTATTATACATATGCAATATTCAATTCAATTCATGACATTTACTCTGGTTGATATAAAAAAGGTCAGAAGTATTAAACTAACTTTGTAAAATATATTTGCTGTTAGAGGCAAGCTTTGGTATAATGTGGATCTATAGAAATTTTAATTAAAAAACTTTAGATACTTGAAAGTCACAAAGTTAAATGTATTACAATGTAACGATGATAAAATGCTTGATAGGGACATAGTTCATGTTCATTGGACTTCAATAGTAATTATCTATTATATCCTATTACGTGGCACATAACCATTGGTGCGATTGACTTTTAGATCCAGCACGTGTACGTGTAGTATCAAAGACCGTATAAAAAAAAACAGATATCATGGGAAATTTTGGGAGACTTTCAAAATTTAACTAATGCCTTTTTAAATTTATTAGATCGGTATGATAATGATGATGATTTTGCCAAAAAAAGCAAAACAAATCGGTTACTTTCAATTCCACTTTTACCATCGAAGAACATAAAAAAGACAAATAAATGGTGCTAAATCTATGTCATAATTAAGAAAATAAATTATTCTAATGTGAATTTCTCTAGAACACATTCATTTTTTATTTCTATTAACTTACGAGTGAACCTGCTCAGAAGTCTTCTTCCTATTTCAATGATTTTTGCCCATAGATATTACATTGTTGTCTAATAAAAAGTCTAAAAAGATTTTGGTTTCTTTTGAGACTTGACTAAGCTATTGAACTTTTAGTATGTGTATTTTCTAGAGACTTCAAGTTTTTGGAAAGTTCGTATGGTTCAATTTTGATCTCAAAATTTGTGCATATAGAGAACTCAAGTAGATTAGCTTGCATAAAAAAATTAAGAGTTTTAAACAAAATCTCTTTGGAATATGAGAGTTTCAAGATATAGACCCTTCTTCATGGATTGTGCACAATATACATCTTTTTGTCAAAGGCTTCATGGCTCGAAAATACTATGTTTAAAATTTCTGAATTTTTTATGGACACTAGTCAAGTTGAGTTCTCTATATGCACAAATTCTCAGATCGAAACTCGAAAATAATAGTTTTCTGAAAATTTGGATCTCTTGAAATAGACAAATAAAATTGGATAGCCTAATCAAATCTCCATCGGA